TTAAATATTCAGTTTTGTTTAAATGCTGATATATAAAGCTTGAGATATCAATATGATAGGTGTAACTGTAGGTGTAGGTGTTTTATATTTGCATTACTGTATGTAAGCTACAGCCTTCGGACGCTGATCCCGCCTGGTCTGACTGGTCCACTGTGTATTGTGTGCTACACTTTATAAATATAACACTTTATAAAATACCATCTTTACCTTCTGCCAACACCGTCCCCACCCCCACCATCACAGGACAATCATTTTTTATGTTATATTTCTGTGAGAGCTCCACTCTACTAACTATACCAATCAACCCCATCCTTCCTTACTTACCAGTCAAATAAACAAACCAGCATTGTTACCTGAGCGAGGCTTAAGTTGGCTTCTTACTTGTAGCTACAGATATAATGGTTTGAAAAGTACATGAGATGAGGACTGAGAAAAAAGGTAAAAACTTAGGCTACATTTAATTTTTGCCCCATGACTGCTGTTACTTACAACAATTAACATTCAGTGTTATTCAGCAACATTCAGCAGGTAGTTACCATGTTAGAGTCTTTGTTTTTAACTGTACTGTACAGATTTATTTTCAGTGGCTCTCCAGTTACCATTGACATCAGCTCATGGTCCCCCGTCTGTTGGGTAGTGATAAAATACTCAAAGCAACGCACTTTGGTACACATTCAGCTGATTAAGGTTTTCACGAGAAACCACTGAGAAGATTGTGGGGGATTGTAGTGCCCTGAAAATTCCATTTTATGATTTGAACACTAAGAGAAAATCTTCCCCAAAAATGCAAATAAAGAGACATTTCAATCATGGGTGGTAAATTTGGTCCAGCAAGAAGCTGCCTGTCTGTTAATGAAAATGTAAAATTTTCTTTTTTGTGACTAATAATTCACATTCACACACATTCAGTGTGGTGGTTTTAATCATTAAATTTTGGAGAGAAACCTAGTTAATGTTTCATTATTTCCCTTCAAAAAATGCAAAGAAACAATGCCTTTTGTTGGGCAACAAGTTGCAGAAGGTGGGTGTACCAGTAATCAGTGAATAAGGCCGATCATCAACCCACAGAATATCTCTGCTGCTGTCTTTATCAGAAGAACACTCTGGTCTGCCCTACCAGTAAACATGAAATTCAGAATGAAATTCAGATTGCAATCATAAAATGATCAGCATGAGCCCACTAACAACAGATGGCCTTGTGTACAGCTTTTAAAGAGAGATTTGAGATATCATCATATTCAGTTTAATAAGCATGATACGGAGTGATTACAAACATATTTGCATGGCAAAAACAACAATGTTTGGAAGCAATTCTCATGCGTAATTTATTCCGATTTTCTTGTTTCTGGTCATAGAAGATCCGACAGTAATGTGTTTCTGTCAGCTGAAGGCAATTTCAGTCTTTGCTCTGAGTGATTATAAAATGGATCACATACCTTCTACAACTTCGTTCCAACTTGTACCTCATTGTTTGTTAGCAAAGAAATGACAATTAGATGTTGATCTCCATTATCTTTAAACAAAAAATCATGTTGATGTGCATTCAGCTTAGTGCATCTAGGCTTTTGAAAATTCAAGACTTCATGGGGCAGATTTACTAACATTTTGTGAGAAAAATGTCACAAACTCCATTTCAGCATTAAAAAATGGTTGTTGCGAATGACTAAATAAGCACAATGCTGCTTTAAGTCTATAATAAGATGTCTGCTGTCTTTCATGGTCACAATTCGGGTCCACTGTGTGCTACACTTTATAAACACCTGAGATTTTGTCTTGACAAAATAACTAAGGTTTGGGAGGAGCACCATGCCTCAAGCTTCTCCTCTTTGCTACCGTCCTGTAAATGAACAAAGTTTTTGCACCCCACCACCACCCTATCTCCTTCCTGTACCTCAGTCCTATGTCTCAGTCATACCTCTGTTCATCACGGCTGGTCTGGGTCTGATCTTCTACCTTAAAGCAGAACATGACCAGCAGCCAGTTGCACCAGCTGAACTTAGGTTTGATCGTAAGTTGGGGTGTAAAGTCCATCCTAAACCTTACGCTGAGAGTAGTTAGTTTAAAACTAGCGACACACACAATTTCGGTTGCACCACAGGTAAATATGGTACATCTTAACCAGTAGTGTGTAAAGTGACCGTAGATCAAAACAGTGTTGCACGGAATGATGTTTTCACACTATGCAGCCAATCAGTAACACTACCAACATAAACAGACCACATTACATGCATTATCTCCACATGCAGAGAAATTGCTCGCATTTCTTTTCGTGCTACATTTACTTCGCTTAAGGTATGTAGGTCATATAAGCTATAATTCAAAAAGAGTCTGTGTTTTACAATATATTGGTGTTTTCAAAGCGTTTCAAAAGAACCTGTTTATTCTGTTCTGCAGCTGGAATGTTTTCGATGTTCAAACTGGGGTTCTCGTTCTCAGTACTTTAATGGTATTTTAACAACAAATGGTCAGTAACATTAGCAAAGCCCCAGCTAATGTAACTGCTATTTGAATCTGCTGAATGACAGAAAAGTAATGTTAGCTCTGTTAGTTATATTTTTAAAAATAATCTGTGTTATGTATTGTACGATAATAAGGTCAATGTCGCACACAACCTGAGCACTGATGGAGCTGCTGTTATTGCTCTGCATGCAGTTGACTTGTGTACTTGAATAACAGAAAATCTTTGTTATTGTCTGTGTTGTGTGCAGCTAGGAGGTCTGTGATATTTTCTATCTCTATTCTTGATCAACAAAAATGGGTGTAGTCTATCCTGCAGAGGTTACCGATGCAAACTGAGATGTATTTGGTTTTCTTGCAAGTTTTGCTATTGATCAAGCCCACCAGCTATTTTTCATTGATTTTTACGGCAGAACTAACACCTACTATATGGCATGTGTAAATTCTTAGCTATAACTTTAAGCTGTATTGAAACTATGTTACTTGGTGCAACCAGTTAAATTCTAGTAGTTCGTAAATGTGAACGTAGTGGCAGTTTACATTCAAACTAGGCTATGATCGAACTTCAGCTGGTGCAACTGGCTGCAGAACTCCAGATGAAGTTCTCAGAGTTCTCTCCCCTCATACTGCCTCTTCTTATACTGCCAAAAGATGTGGAAGGCATGGTCCAAACTCAGTAATAATTCTGTGCTTGATGAATCTGTGCATCAACTCTTAATTATATGCATGACTTCAGTAGATCACACTGGTTAAATCAGAGTCATCTCTTTAAAAGGCCAAATGCACAGCGAACAAATCATTATTTATGCATTTTATTCAGTAAGGTGAAAAACCCCAGTCAAGGGAGCTGCGACATTGTCATTATCATTGTCGACTTTGTCTCTTAACCTTGAGCAAGCCAGATAACCCTATACTTAGAAAAAACAAAACAAAACAAACAACAAACAAACAAAAAACATGAAGGGATGAATTGTGCTTGGTTACTGCAAGAAAAACACAATCCTGTGCTGTGTGTACAATGATACACTGTAAACCAAGGTACAGATACAGTACTTACCAGACAGTAGTCCACAGTCGCTCACTCTACTCTGAAATGCAATTACTTATAGAAAACAAGCTGCCTCTACATACGTTGGGCCTCATTCACAACCGTTCTTAAGAAGAAATTTCTTCTTAAAACCCAATTATGCAGTTTTCATAAGGACTCATTCATTGGTGACATTCACCGATGTTTTCTTATTTGGGACTTGTCCTTAGGTAAGAACAGAATCTACACACACTCAAGAGCACAAAGGTGAGAACAATTCTGTGGTCTAAGAACACATCATGAATCTGACATAGACTTTTTCTTCTTAGGACCTTTCTCAAGAACACACTTAAAAAAAGATATTGATGAATGAGGCCCATTGTTTGCAGTGCTGGCTCTACTTAATAAGCAACATAAGCAGCTGCTTAGGGCCCTGCGGCCACCAGGGCCCTAACAACTTCTGGGTTATTACTGTACCATTATGTTGTCTAAGATGCTCAAGTGAGGAGGAAAAAAGCAACTGATTAATCCTGTCTCAAAGTGTGCATCAGGAGCCAAAAAGTGGAGAAGAAAAAAAAAAAAAGTTTCAGCTTCACAAAACCTAAAAAACACAAACCAGTTAATCTAGGTTTAGAAACGGCTGTGATTAATTCTCATGTCTGTACACATGAAAGCCTAACGTTTGTAATGAACAGACAATCGTGTGAAACATACGGAGTTCCCGTCAAAGAAGGAGAAAGGAATCATACCACCTGATTATGTAGAAAGTAAAGCATTTATAACTACTACCATGGTTAGATCCAACTCATTTTAAAGTTAAGAAATACGGTGTCATGACACAAACCCCTGGATCCAGAACGCCAAGAAAATTATCTGTAATCTAAACTGCAACTGGTTAGACCCCAAATGAGCATCCGATCATCAGCAATGCACAAATCAGCCTGGTATAAATTTATATAATTTAAACAGCTTGTGAGTGTCATTGTCGTTAGATAGCTTATAACTTTCTAGTACATAAGCTAGCAAGACAGGCTCCATAAACCCAAAAGGCTAAATCTGGCCCTGATTGTTTATTACCAGATGTAACCTTCCCAGACCTTAAAAGGAGGCCAGTACATGTGCTGATTGTCTATTATGAAAAGGAAAGGGAAATCACTCTGGTGAAACGTTCATAATGGACTGGACTGCAGCTTCAATCAATACCCATTCTGGCTGTTGGAGAAGCTGAGACAAAAGAGTTAAAATGCATTTCAACCTAGAAGGTGCAGGGATATGCTGTCAACAGCATGAGCACACACACGGTATCTTTTGATCTTACCCTGAAAATGCTGTTTCTGAGCAGAGATGGAACAAGAGGTTGAATAGTGTGCAGATACTAATTACGCTACTTTGCCTGATGTATACTTCATGTTGATTTGTGAAAAAAAATGGCTACAGAAGTGGATGTACGTATAACAGGGCATTGTTACAGTCTCTTATAGACTGTAGAATCAATGGCTGCATGTTGTGTTTGCCTTTTGATGCCACCTAGACACTGAATAGGCTGGTAATGAGGACATGCTGTGCTGGCAGTTTCAGTTACGTCAAAAAACACATTATTTAATTCACTTTGACTGTTGACTTGAGTTTAAAAATCAAAGAGCAGTTTAATGAGTTCTTTTATATATATATTATTATTACTACAAATACATGGATCTCGGCACTTTGAAAAATGTTTTCTTTCTTTCTTTCTTTTTTTTTTTTCCTTTGTTAAAACAAGAAAGCTAAAAATATCCTATGGTGAAAAAATAAAGCAAAAACGACAAACGATTTTAAACATTGAAAAGTCACAAAAGGACACAAATAAAAATAGAATGAAATTTAAAAAAAAAAATCTACATCCTGTACAAACACTATGGCCCAATAATTTAAGAAAATAGTGTCTCTAAAACGTTCATATTGCTTTGTACCTTCACCACTGCTGGAGAGTGAGCTCCACCATACAGTGCGATAAAGTCACCAAAACAGCCAGAAGGGGGCTCCCCGGACTGGGGCCCGGTACAGAACTTCCGAACGGGAGGTCATAGGACTGCCAGCAAACGTCTGCCAGCATCATGGAAGAGAGACAGTTCTGTTATTAGCTTGGTTTGTCCTCAGTACAGTGTTGTTTTCTTTTTGGCAGTACAGAACAAAGACAAGGGATGGTCACTATTCCTTATGAAGTCATGGAGTACTCATCAGCTGCAGTTAGCATTATTACTCTCTATGGTATTATTACTATGACTATCACTGTCGTGGATACACAGAGTGCATCTTGTGTTTATTCATGTGCATCTATGTGTGTAGCGTATGTTTTTTGTTGTGTGTGCGCGTGCGCAAAACGTTCAGTGCTCAGAACTTGACTTCTCAAAGGAGAAGTTGGGCAGAGTCAACAGCTTGGGGTTGGGAACCCCCTCTTGTGGCAGCCCGTCTCCTCCTCCTCCTCCTCCACCCAGATCAAAAGAGTCCTTGGAGTCACTGGAGGGGGCTCGCCTCCTCAGGCAGGTGTCCCTACTGGGCAGAGGGGGTGGAGCCACCATGCCCATGCCCAGCACTGACCGGAAGCACCCTGGAACCTCCGGCCCTTCTGGGGGGTCCACTGAGATGCATGGTGGACTCATCTTCTTCTTGCGTGCGCGGGGCGAGGGCTGGGAGGTCTGCAGACTGTCGTCACGTGACACAAAGCCAGAGGAGGTGGAGCTACGCTGAGGGCTGCTCTCCACCGAAGAGCAAACCTCAATGGAGTGGCGCCGTGGGTCGTCCAGCCAGGAGGAGGGCCGGGGCAGCAGAGGAAGCCGGTGGCCTTGAGCGTCTGCGCTGTGATACTTCTTCAACTGCCGCAGGCATGGGCCACGGGCTTCCGCTGGCAACCCTCCGAGACCTAATCCGAGCCCACCTCCAAGCCTTCCTCCAAACCCTTCTCCAAGAACTCCTACAAGACCTCCTACAAGATCCTTGTCACTACCACCTGTGAACCCTGTTCTGATGATGTGCGACACCTCCTGATCCACCGAGTCCTCCTCCTCTTGCTGCTTAGCAGAAGGCATAGCACCCGTGGGAAGAGGCGGCGGTGGAGGGGAGCGAGGGCGTCTGGAGGAGACACTGTATTGGTCATGGGGGTTGTGCTGCGTGTGCACGCTGGAGCGTGCCGCTTTCGGAGAAGCACCCGGCGTGGCGGGGACCAGGAGGAGAGAGGGCCGATGCTGCTGCTGCTGCTTCTGCAGAGGAGCCGGGCAAGTAGCAGGAGGAGCGGAGAGTTCGGCAGACCCCTCACTCTCAACACCTTCTGTGTACAGAGCCTCCTGAGAGTCAGCACTCACTGCCACCTGAGGAGAGCAGGGATGGGAGGAGGCAGGGAGGAGGGGGAGGTGAGAAGGAAGGAGGAAAGTATTTAAGATATGAGAAGGCGAGAGGGAGATTGGTTAGCATGAGATGGCGGGGGCGGTAAAGGGGTTGGGGGAAAGGCGAGCCGTGGGGTTAGAGTAGAGTTCACCATTACTGTGGTATTCTCCACAAGCTCTCTGCCTCCACAAGTTGAGAAGAAGTTAGAAAATAGAGAGGCAATCCAGTTGGAGGTAGCCTGCATATAGAGACTAAGACTTCTGTTCTCTGAATATAGTGTGAAGTAGAAAGCGTTCTAAACTCTACACTGAGAACTTACAGAGCTAAAAGTCCTTCTTAGCAAGTTCATCTACAAAAAAATTTTCAGAAATGAATCAAACCCATCGAAACTCTTCATATCTGATGTTATATCCTTAAACGCTCTGTAGAAAATGTCCTTTCTGTGCTTCTGAGGAAATAAGGCCCTGACTCATGCACTGTGCACCCTCAACCAAATCAAAAATGTTTAGTACACAGCAGAGACTGCAAAATCCACCCCCTCCCGCCAGTTTTTTCTCTCGCTCCTCCTTTCCTTCCCTCAATTCGCTACACCCCTGATCCTGAGGAAAATTTACATACATATGCTGCTGCTTTCAGTCAAGTCACAAAGGTGAAAAGTTCATATTACCAAATGCACTTCATGGAAGTAGTTGTCCAGTACAGCTGTTGTTTTAAACTAGGGCAGAGGAACGTTTACCCTAAGCAAAAAACTGGAGGCACTGTTTGGCAGACTGCACTCTGAGCCACTGGGCTATACTGTAAGAGACAACACGACCTATGTCTCCTTTCAGGGCTGCATGTCAGCGGTCACTCTCTTCTGAAAACAGCGAGTGAAAAATTACTCCCTGCTCTATGTCCAAAAGGAGAGAGATGCACGAGCCCAGTAGGAGAAAGGTCTGTGAAGGACTTAGAAGAAGGGCTAAAGATCAAGAGGAACCCCTTTGTAGATGTGGGTGACAGAACTGACACACAAACATTCGCTTCATGTTTGTAGCACCCGACCAGCATAGTAGAGACAACACTGCCATCTGGTGGTCACAGGTAGTATCGTTCTTGGTAGTGTAAAAGTGGAAAACTGAAATGTGCAGGTTCTCGCTCACCGTTTAATGCATTTGATAACCAGAAATAAAGTGTCCTTTCTGTGTGTGGTATCTCAAAAGCCTCAAAATATATATATATATTTTGGTTTACTGCATATTTAAAGGAGCATTTTGAAGTCCTGCCTCCAAAATACTTTTGGGGACAAACTCAAATCCATAATGATATAGCATTTATCTTACTTAAAACGACTGGGCAGTGTTCATGAGGCTACATGGCACCTACGTACGCCCTTCATGACAACTGACACAGACTTAAATAAACACTTATAAACATGCATTCAAACATTCATAAACCTGTGTCAGTTCTCATAAAAGTTGCATTTCATTACTATGCCCCCCATGTACACTACATGTCCAAAAGTTTGCTGACACCTTCTGAAATCAAGGGTATTAACAAGAAGTTAGTTCCCCCATGGAAATTATACATATACACATACTGTGGTTGTGCCAATGAGTAGCTGTGCCAGCAATAGGTGCATCTAAAAGCAGCTGAATTCACTAATTAGAGGGGCTGTTTGATTACACAGTGTATCTCCATGTTTTCAATTTTTATTTTTTTTTACATTATTTGAACACAACACTCTCCTTTTACATTGTATGAACATTTCATGATGAATGGACCAATAGAAATGCTCCAAAATCACTTGGAATAAAATCTCTTCACATTAACTTACATTAAAAGTTAAGAAAGCGTTTTGCCTCCTGTACAGTTACCATTTTGAATGTTGTTAAGATACTTTCTAGGGTGAAATGACAGACTTTGTAGCTCAGTGTGTGTCACAGTGCACAGCTTTATGTCATTGCGATATGTACTAAGCTACAAAGTCATGACAACTGACATGTTAAAAACATGAACACTGCCTGCCAGACAGTAAAGTGTTTCCACACTATTTTTACACAGAAACATGTACTTTATCAAAGCTTAACATCAATAACCTGTACTACTGTAAAATGAGGTAAAAATAATGAATCCAGTACCAATTCTTCAAACAGACAGTACCATATGGGACAGTTTATTTCTGGTTGAATAGACCGACAGCTTTAAATAATGTTTAAATAATGCTGTCTCTCTAACCTCAACAGGAATCCTTCTTGACCTTTAGCCTTCTAGTTTTGTCCCTTAGAGTAGCCCTGGTGAAATGCAGTGGGACATGGGCTATGGGGAGCTGGTGCAGGGGTCAGTGGGACAGGTATGGGGAATGGTCTGGGAGGGAGGGTCAGGGATGTTTAGAGTGGGAAAGATGCTGGAGGCTACCACTCCAGCTCTCTCAGTAACAGGAGTATCTGTGTCTCAGGAGCAGGCTGGGGTCCGGCTTGTGCTGTACCATGCTGAGCTGATCAGGATTAGTCAGATTAGTGGAAACACAGGCCACGAGAAACAAAAAACAAAAGAAAAGAAAGGAAAGAAGAAGAAAAAGGAGAGAATGCAGGAAGAATTAAGAGTGGAAATGTACTGGCCCAGAGGACAGATGAACAGTGCAGAGGTGTCAGACTTCGTACCAATCACTTCTTCAAATACACTACATAAAGCGCTGGACAGAAGACACAGAGAATACAACGCATTATGAGGAAAGACAAGCCAAGACAAAGTACCAGGTGGGCAGCAATAAAGCACAATGCTACAGAACAAATGCAGCTAGACGCTGATGCAGCACAGCACATAATTCCATCATAACAGCCAGTATAATTCATTATTTTCAGAGGGAGCAATGAGAAGTGTTGGGGCTGGAGCTCACCTGTCTGCGCAGAGTGCGGGAGAGGGTGTGCCGGCGAGGGGGAGGGATGCGGGGGATACTCTCAGAATCAGACAGGCTGTGGGGGCTGATGGGTCGGAAGAGCTCCGTGGGCACGGTCAGGTTCTGTGAAGGCTCTTCTGCGTGAGACTGAACAGAGCCGCTCGAACCTGTAGGAGGAGATACAGCAACAGTGCAGTGTGATCAACATATTCAGGAATTCTTTAGTGCAAAAAATTACCACTATCTTGTTGCATTATTATGTTATTTTTGTGGTCTTATGTTGTATTTATATTGTTTATTAAAGGAAACTAGCAAAATCTCCATTACACACAGCACTAATACACACACACACACACACACACACACACACACACACATTTTCTAAGCTGCTTATCCTTCTGGGTCACAGGGGGAGCCGGAGCCTATCCCAGCAGTCATGGGGTGAAGGCAGGATAAACCCTGAACAGGTTACCGGTCCATCGCAGGGCAGACAGACAGACAGACATTTACATTCACACAAACTCATGCCTAGGGACAATTTAACGTGTCCAGTGGGCCTGGCTGCATGTCTTTGGACTGTGTGATGAAACCGGAGTAGCACTAATACATCATATATAAAATACAATATATTAAAAATGCACTTGAATTCCATTAGTCAGCAACACATAACCATTTCTGTAGAACTGGCATCAATATTAAAAGTTAGAAGAAAAAGAAAAAGACTTTCAAAACATTTCACTAGTCAGTTAGTTTAACTTTTATTAATGCTAAATTCAGCTAAGGTTTAAGGTTAGGTTAGCTACATGTCTAAATTAATACAACACCAAACATTATTATAAGCTATAAAATGGGCAGTTCCAGTCTTAGAAGTCACCTTTGAAGTAGAATTGGTCAATAATTACATCATATTATGTCTCAATATGGTTTTCTTTTTATGGATATCATCAGTACTTAAGGAACACTGATCAATTGGCTTACTAGGAGAGCCTCATTAGTTCTGGTTAATTGGTTTGGTGTAGTGCAGCGTTGTATAAAAAATATTGTACTCATAGCTTTGGTAATATTTTTACATGTGCACTATTTGTTATTTTTCTGTCAGTATCAACTTATCAGAATTCTGAAAAGCTAAATATTGTGATGCATGTCATATCAAGTAAATGTCTTAAAGTATTATGACAGTATATTTTAGATATTTATATATCACCCTCCTCTCGTTTGAAGCCATATCATATATGAATGTATTTACACCTATGACTGTCTCACTCTGAATAGACTGAAAAAAAAAAAAATATCTGTGATAAAATCACTGTAACTCTTAAGTTGCTACCTTATTAAGAGCATATTTGAATCTACCACACAAGTACAAAAGTAGCTATGTACCTTCTCTAACAATGATGGTGCAGTTTTCTAGTTTTCTCTTAAAATCTATTTCGACCCTAGAGATGCAAGCGACCGTAAAAACTACCCAGCATGCAACACAAGCATGGAAAAATGGATAAATTATGGGCAACAGTGTAGTGCTTAAACAGAAAAAAAATGTTCAAACTCAATGAAAGAATAATCCATAACGAACGAGTTATAAGAAAACAAATGTTTATGGTGTTTGCTTACAAACTTTTAAAAAACATTAAAATGAATAACTTCAGTGTTTAGCTCCCAAAACTTGGTGAAGTTTGGTGTATTAGGTGCGTGGTTCTTATTGATTTTTTAATAAGAATGGATACTGAACATATAGACACACATAGTATGTTTAGGTCCTGATAGGTTTTTAGATGCTGTACCTGACTGGGCCTGCTGAGCTGAGGTTGTGAGGGTTGTAGAGGTGGCGGTAGGCTGTAGGGGCAGGAACATGTAGCTGTCGTTGGGTAAGGAGTGGGTACGCCCCACTGATGTCTTCTTTACACACAGCAGGTGCTCCTCCAGAGGTTCATGCGGCTGAATGGGCTCCACAGGTTCTGAAGGATCTGCGGTCTGAGGGGCAGAGATAACATTGGTCAGCAGAGCTGGGACAGGGGCTGGGGCTGGGGAAATGAGAACCAGGCCATCCCTCCCTTACAAACACACATATAGTACCTACAGGACAGGTTAGCACACAATGAAAGGCAGACATCATTGCACACTGGCCAACAGGGAGGAGACTGAGCCATAAATGTAATCTGCATTATCCCATGTCTGGTTTTTACAATAGATAGTAACATGTATCTCTGAAATGGCCAAAAACATGACATGAACTACCTCCAGGCTCCTCCCTTTAAAAGCCACAACCATATAGCTTCTACTACTGTAGCTAGCAGACAAAAGAAGCCAACCTCACACCACATCCCCATTCCCTTGAAAGGAACAGGGGACATGGTGCTGTGGTGCAACATCACATCACTACAGAATTTACAGGAAAGACAGAGAAGACACTGATAAAATTCATGAAGCTTGAACACATCTATACTGAAGATATGTAGACAGACAAATGAGTAGGACAGGACCATCCAAAGTACAAGAGTACATGTGGAAAAAAAAGGAAGAAGAGATGGAGATTGAGACATCCAGAGATGTGAGAGAGGACGGGGACAAAGCTGCAGAACCCAGACAGGAGAAGAGCAGGGAGCAGCACTACTCTACTAGACTGGACTGGACTGGACATAGACCAGGCTAGTGGGACATGACCAGAGAGAAAAGAGAGAGAGAGCTGGACGGATTCTTAGAAACCCCCCCAGAGCTTCCAGTCACAACCGCCTTTCAGAGAACCATAGTTTATATCAGATTTACAAGGGGTATAAACTACAATAGCATGGTTGCCCTGCTTTTTGTTTTGGTTATTTGTTCATGGTTGCGAATGCGATTATAATCAAGATTGCACTATTTCATTGTATATTCTACTGTAATTGTGTTGTATTTGTATTGTACTGATAATGTATTTTGTGCTAATTTTATGTTTACCTGTCCAGGGACTGCAGATGAAAATCAGCTGCTAGCAAAACAACTTTTCTCCATCAAGATGAATGTTTTTGTACATGGTCCCTGACAAATAAACATAATAAACTAAACTAAAGTGTACAAAGCAAGATTAATGAATCAAATCTGAAATGCTGATTGAAACATCACCTTGCTGAAAGAAGGTTACTACAAACAAAACACAATCAGCACCTCGACAGTGAAGAACAGGGGTGGCAATGATAACAATTAGTCATAATTTCTTAGCAACGGTTCCCACTGATCTTTGATTTTGCATGCAGAGGGAGATATCCTTCCCAATAATCTTGCCTTCAGGATAACACACAGTGAGTACGGAGCTCTATTTGATGTCTCAAGTGTATTGTGTCATAAAAACCTTGTAATTTCATTTTTTATTATCATTATTTTTATTTTTGTATCATTTGAAAATGGCAAAGGTGATGATCTAAAGTATACGAACAAATGCTAATCATCAACATTACCAGCCTAGTCACATAGAATTTCACCTGATACCTTCTTGCCTGACAGCAGCAAGTTTATGAAGAGTTAGTTATCTATTATCACATGTGGTAAGTTCACTAAATCATATTCCATTAAATGTAGATTCCTTTTAAATTCCATTAAAACTTCGATTTCTTATTTATTGCCGCTTCTTATATGCTACAGCGGCAATTTGTTCTATCGACTACCTGACACCAGAGACCCTGAAGCTTGCCATCTGACGTACAGTAGCCTTTTGCCCACTGTAGTAGTCTGTCTATTTTTCATCTTTGGACTAAACAGAGTCCGATATCCCGAAAACATCTTAATGTAATTAGTAGAGTCGTAACTAGTAGATAGAGTGTTAAGTGCTCACTTTATCATTAAAGAATGATCTATGTACTAAGATGCTTTCGGGAGACCTAGAACAGATAAGAACCTCTGAAAAATAAGACATTGTAGAGTTTATATATATATATATATATATGTGTGTGTGTGTGTGTGTGTGTGTGTGTATAGAGAGTATAGAAATCTTATGGTTCTGCAATATGAGAACATAAAACAAATGAGAAAAGCTCATTTGCATATGATTACCTATGAATATCTAATTTACTACTGGATCCCTAATGGCAACCTTGCAGAATATGCATCATGGTGGAGGCAAATCGGCCTGGAAGCTCTAAAAAGGAAGTCTAAGAAGCCGCAAAAGGAGAACGAACGTTGCTCTACTGTTAAGTACATTGCACTCCAGACTGGTTAGTAAGGGGGGGTTAAAATCATCAGGGACAGAGTCGTCCGTCAGAGCTAAGGACCAGGATTTCTCCGATGCCAGAGACAGAGCCTCCATCTCCGCTAGGGGGATCTAAACAGGAAGAGATGAGGCCAGGGTGAGAACAGAGAGCATCCGGCCACATGCAGTTAGAGACACACATTCTCACACACACTCTTGTGCCAGAAAAAGATGTCTTTTTATGGATCCATTTTTGGTGGTTCAACATTAGCTATTCTGTGCATGCAGTCTACAGCATCCGTCCCGACAGTGGCAGGGTCCTGATTACGCTTGGAGAAAGATGCTTAAGGTTTCCTCCCTTTCCTCCCTTTATTGTTGTGGTGAATGCAGTGCCAAGTCATCTATTCTTAGGGGTTCAGAACTATTGAGAAAAACAAAACCGATCCAGTGAACAGAAGTACTGTAGAACCTCGATTCACTGAAGCTAGGGGTGCTGTTGCTTACATTTTCACTTATCTCAGAAGTTAGCGTAGGAAATGCTGCATCAGGCAGATAGGCAGTGCTCTTGACTGGCACAGATTGTGGGCTGGAATCAATGTTAGCTAAGTTTTCGAAATAAATTGTAGGAAAAGAGGCCATCTAAAGACATTAAAGCATCGCCAATTACATTTAAAAGCTTTTAGGAGCACATGTTTTGCAATGCTAATGGGATTTTGCTGCAATATTCCTCTCTGGAAGAGCAAAAGAGATTTCTTTGCATAATTCAACAGCAATCCATCGTTCATCAATCCTCACATTATCACATTTAGGTCTGGGCAGTGAAGCTTCTGCTGAGCAAGTTCCAATAGTGCTTTTTATGCTTATGAACTTTGGATCAAAAGAATCCAAATATATTATTCAGTTAAGGGTTTTTAGGGAATCCTATCTTACAGCAAATGGGTTTCATTGGGCCAGAACCTCCTTCGCACAAAGCAGCATGACTCTGGTTTACCTCTGGGTATAAAAAGAGGCTGGATGGACGCAATGCCGGCCGTACCTAATAAGTGTCATAAGCGCCTGCTTAGGGCCCGGGGGCATCAGGGGGTCCACTAACAACTTCTATATTATTATTGTACCATTTTGTTGTCTAAGATGCTTGAATAAGTGGAAAAAAGCTACTGGTTAATCATGTCTGGGTCTGTCTAACGAAGCAGGTTCAGCTGCTTCTTATTAAGCTACAGCTGCATTTGTACTATCTGTACATCCATACTGGGTCTGTCTAATGAAGCAGGTTGTTGCTGCTTCTTATGAGCTACAGCTGAACTTTGTACTATCTACTAAGGTGTCCACTAAGAACTTTGTCTAAGATGCTCAAGTAAGTGGAAAAAAGGAACTGGTTAATCATGTCTGGGTCTGTTTAATGAAGCAGACCCAGCTTAGACAGGCTTTCAGACAATGTTTCCGTTTACCAAAACCTAACAAACACAGCTACAGTCAACTCATTTTACAACAGCAGTTAACTTTCTCTGAAAACCCAGGTTCAGATACTCAGGCTGTGATTAATCCTTATGTGTGTGCATACGAAAGCACGATGTCTATGATGAACAGCCAGTCGCTTGAAACATAAGAAGGAGAAAGAATTCATACTACCTAAGTATGTAGAAAGTAATGCATTTATACTGGTAAAAAAGCAACGCTGTTGCCACTGCGATGAGGGTTAGATCCAATTAAGCTTTCTTGCTGTGTAAGCAAGAAATACTACCATGAGACAGACCTCTGGACTGAGAATACTGAGAAGGTCATCTATAATTTATATTGAAACTTATTAGAACCCCAAACAAGCATCCATTCATTAGCAATACAGAATTAGCCAGTCATAAGTATAGAATTTAGACAACTTGTGGCAGTTATTGTAACTTTACAGTACAGCCGCGTATTAGCTAGGGCGCCCCTAAAAAGGCCCTGCTTAGATTAGAGCCGGCCCTGGACAGACAACACATTATAGTGCCAATTTCATAACTGACTGAACTTGGTGATGCTAAAGAGCTGTTTACCTGACTTGTTAAACAAGCAAAGTGTTCCACTGAGATAGAAAGGGCAAAGACACACAGACGAAAGTGTCCAAGCAATGTTCCAGCATTTTAAGCCACATCTGTAGTACAGGGTCGATTACCACAAACAGTCATTTCAATCTGCTCAAGCAATTGCCCATTGGCTTCTATTATAATCAAGTTTTGAGCCATTCTTTTTCTGTTCTTTTCTAAGTACAGGGGAACATGCTGAAATAAACATTTATGCTAATCAAATGTACGCTACAGATGCAGCAGATAGAGATCAGACAGAAAAATGCTGGAATATTCCTTTAAGCAGCAGAGGGTGCACAGGGAAGCCATTGACCTGTTTCTCAGTGCTGTGCTTGCTGGGGAGAGGGGGCAGAGCGTAGTAGTGGCAGATGGAGCCGGACAGGTTGTCCATTAGGCTGAGCTCTCCTTCCAGCGAGCCCTGGATCACCAGGGATACCGAGTCAAACATGGGCCTCCGCTACAGACCCAGCCAGACACAGACAGAGCAAAGCCGAGACAGAGAGATAAAGAGAGACAGAGGAAAGGAGAGGTCACAATACAAAAGGGAGAAAAAAGGAGAGAAGCAGGGAAGGGGAGAAGTTCATAGACAACAGTTCAAAAGGCCAAGAGAAGGTTAGACATACATGTAAAGAGAACAGAGAAAAGAATGTACAGTAATAAAGTAACTAGGCTCTGCTAAAATCAAACAGATGTGAAACTGTTATTAGACTCATTTGCTACACCCAATACATTCATTAAATCAAGCCATACCAACAGATTGTCCCCTGCGTTCAGCACACAGCTACAACACCTGTTCCCAGTCGTTTCTGTTTCTTCTGTACTACCACAGGTCACCACAAGGGGGAGCAATAACTCTACTGTGCCACGCCAAGGACTGCAAGCACAACAGACTGGAGCAGGAGTGAGCAAACGCTTGTTTAACAGGAGATGGGGGAGGGATAACATCTCAGGAACGATACGAAGGTCAACATTAACCAAAAAAAAAGAAAATGGTGCTCTAGAAATAGCCAGGCACAATAAAAAAATAAGCTGATGTATCAGTGCTTTCCCATGGCACCAGTCTGACCTATGACTGATTTGCTATTAACAGTAGTAGAAACAGCAGGGCCATCTCTAAAACACAGCAAGAAGCCAACTCCAGCTCATTGACAATTCTAATAAGAAAAACTATAAGGCTGGGTGTGCAAGCATATTAATATCATGCAAAATAATAATATATAACGAATAAGGCAAAATAGAGCTCCTATAAGCGAAGAAGGTAGCAAAAAAGGCATCTGTCTCAAACCTGGTTAAATGATCTCCAAAATAAATTTCTATTTTATTCATATTCATCATTTCCTTACATATTCTGTAATCCATATATTTACATAAATTTGCCTATATTAACTAAGCTATTAACATTTTCTTCCATTTGCAAAATATGAAATGAATCTAATTCATGTTCATGCATGACAGTTGATCAGGTCAGGCATAACTGATTGTGTGTATTCATAATCAAACCTTTTTAGGAGCAGGCCTGTATTAACTCTTTAAACTCTAATGGTCCGTATGTGGGCCCGCATTTAGTTCTTCACTCTTATAACTACATTACATACATATTAGATCTGGTAAACTCAAAGTTAAGAACTGAACAGTAAGGGATTAATAAAATCTTGTGTACCCACTAATCTCAGTAATCTGTCTATTAACTGGCTAAGTGTGAGCACAAGCTCTTAAGTACTAGTTATTTTGGGTAACATGATGGTCAGTTCCAAGACAGTCTAATGAAATTAGGAAATATAAATTAATTTTGTCTCTACACTTTGAGAAAAGGGGTACTAAACTATCACTGGGCTGGTACCCCTTGTACCTTTAAAACATATTTAAGGTGCACAATTGGACCTTAAGACTACTGTTGTACCTTTAAGGGTACATTTGCATTATTTGTACCTGCACAGTACAGAATGTTTCTGACAGTGTAGGTAATGAACAGGTACATGCAATAAGACTCTTATGTATTTATGTCTTTGTATTGCCTTTTTTCCTGTATAACAACCCAGTACAGTAGTTTTTTCCGATTTACTTGCCTGCTTAAATGTGTGATATTACAGTGAAATTTAGAGATTATTTATAATTTACCACCTTGTTACTCCAATTAATTATCCAATTGGCATGGGGGCTTCCCTCTGGGGAAGCACATGGACTCCTCCCTTTCTTTATGAATCACACTTGCAGCTAGTTTTTGGACCCATTAACCCACACATCTATACTTTACTTTGGTCTGCCAGGTTGTTTTGCAGTTTTAAGTGATAATTTTTCTATTTCCTAGACCATGGATAATTTTGCTTCTCATTCTCTAGCTTATCTAGTTCTGACCATTTCTCCCGTCTTCTGGTTGGACACGCCTGCATTCAACCAAATTGCCTATTTGATGACTCCTGTTACAGAACACAGACCAGCCAATCAGAACAGAGACCATTTACATATATCAGTCTTAAAGCCACTGTAACAAAACCAGCCTACATGATGAAGAAAGGCTAGCAGATGATCGTGTAGAAGCAAATTTCTTAGTGCATAAAATCATACAAATATATTGAGTAGAAAAAAATAAAATGAGCAAGAAGAACGAGTGCCTGATCGGCTCATGCCTCTACAATAAGGGCTTAGCACATGGGGAGAGAGCTGCTGTCTCACTGTTTAGATGGCAGTATGGTGCCCACCAGACAGACGACGAGAGTCAATGGTCAGCCTTGCTCATTCTGTATAGCTGTCGCATCTCACATGGTGCACTGCTTGATTCTCAGCTCAGAAATCACATGGAATGCCGGATCTGGCCAAGGTTTCACTGGACTCTCTGCTTTATGTGTCATGTGACTCACAGGTTTGGTCTGACTGGCTAATGGAGCAAAGCCCTGTGCAAACTTGCACAGCTGCCAGCCCATACTGAGTAAGCAAACCTTTCTCAGTACTTGCCAAAGCACATTAATGTCAAGAGTGTGCCTCCTACAGTGTGATATAAATCCAGACACACACAGACGTAAACATTCCCTTACTTGCCAATGAAGGGTTTTGTTTTTTTTGACTCACCTCTAATGGTGGCTCCAGACTCTGAGGGGGGTCAGCCTTAACGTGTGCTGTTGAGTCTCTGCGTATGTCTGCTGGCGGGCTGTCAGTGGAGTAACCATCAGTGGGGTAACCTCTGTCCTGAGAGCCTCTAGAAACCCAGGGAGACCCTCCAGACCCACCCATGTCCCCAGTGGCCAGAGGTGAGATATGTCCCCCAGTTGTCCTCCCCCCATCTCCCCCTACTGCCTCCAGCTCCAGCTCTGCCTCCATATCTGCCTCCTCTTTGGCCTCTTTGTTGCTTTCCTCTAAGTGTTTCATGAGGACGGCGATGACTACGTTGACCAGCACGAACTGAGCCATCAGCACAAAGGACACAAAGTAGATGGGAGACACCACTGTGTTGTAGCAGGTTCCAGTGTCTTGAGCACAGTCTCGCAGGGTGTCCTGGAATACACACATGCAGCACAAACTGATGAGAACTTTCATGGCTCCCCATGAGGCACATAAAAAACTGGTGAAATACTCTGAAAAATTGGCCTAACGTTCACCTCACAAGTCATGTGTGAAAACAGCGAACGCACCTTCATAATGCCGTTCCAGTTGTCCCCAGTGGACACACGAAACAGCAGGAGAAAGGCCATGCCAAAGTTTCTGAAAGTGGCGTAACGGCCAAGGCCTTCACAAGGGTGCATCTCATCACATACTGTAACACACACAGTGAGGGTCTTAAATGAGTCAACAGTGTATAGAAACGTTTGAGTCAAGATTTCAACCAAGATATGTTTGGTGTCCAAAGTACTACTTCTTTAATTTTGCATGTTATATGGGGCTAATGTTGCTTACAAGCTAATGGAGGCTTACCACCAGTTAGCACCTGCAAACTGCATGCCACAGCAATTACATACGTCCTCAAATGCATGCCTCAAACTTTTTAGCAATCTCAAATAGACTTGCTTATTTGGTTTCTAACATACTGTTATAGACAAATAGATTGTATGTTGTATTGCTAAAAACAGCAGTAAAACACTAGTAGAGTTGGGATCATCCCTATGTTCCCAGGGCCTTTTATTTGTTCACTGAAATTTTGAGGAAAGAGCTACATATTTCCAAGGCCCTACATTCCCAGCATGTTCCCTCACTGTAATTTTCTTCCCATCTTCCCATGGTCACATATTTTACCCTGATGTTGCCTGAATCAACTTTCCTCAAAAATCTGCATGAAATTTCCCTTAAAAATAAGACTAACATCCATTATATATTTACAAATGTATTTATTCTATTATTCTAATATTCTAATTATTCACAGTTCATGTATAACACGCTTTAAATTCTCAAAAAATATGTTATGTTACAAAGCTTGGCTAGCTAATTAGTTTACTAAGGTGAATCAAGGACAAATGTGTTCATATAGAACAACTGACTGTTTTCCTATGTAGGATCTTTGATGACCAGCCTAACCATGACCACAGGAATTGTTTCATTAATGTTCGATATTGACGTGTGATGTATCTCATAAAGAGCTGCGGGATAGCAGAAGAACGGGAACATAGAATACTCCTATAGAACCCTTCTTAAAGCCTGTCTGTACTTTTGTCCAACTTTTTAGATAACCATAATTCACAATGTCAGAAACCACATAAGTAGATCTGTTTGAAATTATTTAACAATTTGATGTTTTTGAGGCAAATGTATTGTTTTAGGCATCTAGTTTACGTGATGCTTTCTCGTGCAGTCTAAGCTTTCATTACTTGTTAACTACATTAGCCTTGTACAGGCAGATTCACTCAAAAGAGGCCCTGAATATTCTGTAATAATTCTCGCTAGGACGAAGCAATCTGAACGAAACATGTGCAATGTGCTCCTCAGTATATGGAGCTTCAAATAAGCTGGGAAGCCCCTGCGTCGGAGCACTGAGGTAGGTGCCGGACAGCTGTCGTGGCATTTAACCTCTGTTTGCAACTTCCGGGTGCATACCCCCGTACCCCTTCATGTGCCTGGCAGAAAACACTTCCAGCATCGCATGTAATACAATCAATTACACATACGTCAAGGTATGTAGCGTATTTTTTTGGTTCAGATTACTTCATCCTAACAGGAGTTACAACAGAATATTCGGGGCCTCTTTCGAGTAAATCTCCCTGTATCTCCAGTGCAAAATTAAAGAAGCAACCAAACCACTCGGCAGATCGTCTACACAAAGTGCAAATTCACCAAACTATTTCTTTAAGACGTAATTCACTTTGGACAAATGATTTGTTAAGGTATAAAACAATGGAACATTATCACTGAAGTGGCATCCTGGCCTAAAGCTAGAGTTTAATATCTTATTTGTTGTGTTATGCAGTACTCTGTAGTGCAGAATTGGTTTTGCTCTTTTAATTTGTCAGTGTTTTCTTAGTACAACATCCAGCGTGCATAATGCAAATACATCATACAACCATGATGTATTTGGGAATCCCTGTGGTGCCAACCAATTCTAACAGCTAGCCTAACCACTGATCTAACAGACTAATAACTAAGCTAGCATTAGTGTCACCTCGGTTGTCGAATAAAATCATAAATTAAAGTTTTCACCCTTTCAACCAGAGAGAAGATGGCAAACTGAGGTAAGGTATCTAGATTGCCAGGTAGCTACCTTGCTAACTGTAGCTTTTAGCTTGTCCTCCTCATCTGACAAGTCATTTCTTTTAGGTAATCCACTCTCTCTAATGCAATAATGATCTAAAGACAGATTACAGTGTACAACCAAAAAATTGTTTTTCTAGCAGTTGTAGTTTCCTCCAACCTTCAAGACAGAAAAGGGTGTTTATAGTTTTTAAACTCTCACTCTAGAGACTACTGTGGCACCACTGTAGGATGTGAGTAGGCATGTTTCCAAAAACTGTAGTGATTTTTCATTTTGGCAAGAGTGCTCCACTAAAATGAATTATTCTTATGAAGAATTCAAGTAAGTACTTTAGAGCTCTGATGTGTGTGAGTGTGTTAAACTATGTGCAGAGTTACTTTCTATTAAAGTGCATTATGCTTACTCAGGTCACCAAACAGCTCTACTCCCAGCGCTGCGAAGATAAAGAAGAGAAGCATGAAGAGAAGACCCAGATTCCCCACCTGTAGAGAGAGAAGAGAGCGAGAGCAGACTGAGACAGAGAGCCAGGAGAGTTTTTTGAAGCATGAAAGAAGAAGACAGAAAGAGCAGATCCAGAAATATCACCTGCTGAGAGCCAAGGAAGGACAGAGCTATGAAGTGAGAGAACTTTAGCCTCATTCCTAGTTATCAGGGGTGGAGTCTCAAAAGCATCTACCACTGGCTAAATATGGCAAAGAACAGCCAAACATACACGGCAGTAAACATGTGCAACCACATGGACAACATCAGGTAAGTGTTTGAAGAAAACAAACGGGGGGAATAAAAGGGAGCAACTGGAAAATGCCTTTATTCTAGTCCAAGTGTTATAAGAAAGATATATTTGCATTGTCGAAAGCTGGAGTTTTTTACCTAATGCATCTGGATTCAGATTCAACAAGAGCAGAAAGTAAAAGATTCCCATTGCAGAGTCCTCTGCAAGGTTATGGGCCACTGCTCACATTTCTGTGTCCCTGTTTGAGCTCAGGGAACACTTTATCTGAATTTGATATATATTCACTTTATATATTCATAGTTACTTGTATAATTACATATCACTATACTTGTTAGACTTGTATGCTGAACATATGCTGATGGAAGCAGGACCAGAGGAATATGGTAGAAGATTCAAGATCAGCAGAAGAAACATCAATACCCAGATGACGTAAAACTCATAGCAGAAAATCAGAAAGATCTAATGGCCTTTTTAAGGAAAGTTAAATAAATGTTAAAAGAAATACGACACAGACTGGCGCTCAGCAGAACAAGAATGTCATCTCTGTGGTTCTTTATGGATGTGAAAGCTGGCGAATAAAAAAGCAAGATGGGAAAAATATTGATGCCTTTGAACTTTGGTGCTGGCATATAATTTTAAGAGTACTTTAGACGACAAGCAAAACAAACAATGGATTCTTAACCAAATCAAGCCTCACTTCACACTCAAGCTCAGATAACCAAACGCTCTTATTTTGGACAAAATCTAAGAACTAAATCATTGGAAAAGACAATTATGCTTGGAACAGCTGAAGGCCCCATAAGCCCCAAACAGAAGCCAGGAAAAGTGGAGAAGGTCTATCCATATGGTCAACAGGAGGCAGAACCTACTTGATGGCATTAAGTAATAATAAAACAAATGATAGATTTATATAATTAACGGTGTGCATAATAGTAATTGACACTATTTTCGTCATCAAATGAAGGGAAAGCTCTGACCTGACAACACCCCTCAAAACAAACTTGCAGTGACAACAACGTTGGCAGTAAATCAGTTATTAGGATAAGAGGTGGTGAAAAGGAAGCGCTAACATGTTCATTCACATCCTATCCTGATAATTTTTGTTGCATTCCTGAAGCTGAAATAGTTTTGGATTAATCTATGTGGATGACACGCATGGCTCAATGTCAAAACTATTCATAGGCTCTAAGGTAAGTTGTTCATTCATTAAGGTTACTGTATTAGCTAACATAAATTTTAATATTGTGTCTAATGACAAATAACTTTACAGGATATATATATATATATATATTTAGCTGCAGGTTTAGCTGTAGTGTTTGCTCCAGTGTTAGCTCATCTGAAGGGGTAGCTTTCATTGCTCAAAACTCCTCATTTTGAAAAGGAAAAGTCTGCCACTTTAATGTTCAGTTGCAAATGATTTCCCTGGATTGATCAATGTCAATGTGATTTATGATGTGGCCTGAGCTGAAAGCTTAATAAACATAACAGTATCTAATAGAGGCAAAACTTGTCAGAGTTTTGCAAACAGTCAATTCATTTCATAACTCATATTAGGAATTGATCTGTCCATGCTCCGCCTACAAAGTTTACAGAAAATCACCACACAACTCAATTTTTGTCAATATATATACATTTGGAGCTATTAATCTTAAATATTTTTTATTTTGTATACATACAAGGCCACATTAGGCCACTTGATGTACACGTTAGTGTACATCAAGTGCAGTTGTGTCTAAATGAGCTAACGTCAGCATATTCATGATTTCTAAACTGTCAAATTGTACTAAGCTACAATAACACTGCCCACCTTGGTAACGTAAAATTTTAACCTGGCAACTCAACATTATGTAGCGAATCTAAACTCTAAACTCAGTTCACTGAAAAAGACTTTCTGCAAGATTCTGTGAAGTTTGTCCAATTTTGCAACAGTTGCTATGACACAGTTCACTTGTGGGCAGAGCATGGATGGCTTTGTCACTAGAATTTAGCATTAGAATTATATTAGAATTTCTTTTTGTTTGTTTCAACATCAAAAATATAGCAAGAAGGCAAATAATTGCTTTTTTTTTTGGAAAAAAAACAACAACCCAAGACTGTATGCTAACTCTGAGCAAAAAGGTGATGTACCCAGATATCGTTGATGATTGACAAGTAATCTGACGGCAATGCATAAAAGGTAATAATCGCCATGCTGGGAAAGAGAACTGAGAGAGCACTATTGAGCACTAATTTACCTTTGAAAAGCTCACTGAATATGTTGGGATATTGGAGATTATAAAAGAAGTTTGCAGGCCCTCCGAGAGAGAGCATGAGAGAGACATGGTTTGAGGGGTCTGTTAAAAAGCTGCCTGTTAGTTTGCTCTTCTACACACTGTAATGCTAGATTTACCTGTTGCATGGCTCTTTCAGATCAGTGAAAGGTAATGAATAATATGTATGCGTAATGTTTTACTCACTTTTGCTTTCAAAACATTGAGCTATAATGGGGTCTTTAAAAATCGTTAGGCTACAGTAGAGTAAGTTCCCCATGGTCTTTGCTGTTGGTTAGTTGAATTGTGAAAACTATGAAATTATAATACTACATAGTTGAACTTCAGAATGACTCTGCTGTAACTGCAGAAAACACCTGTTTTTTAATATGTGTGGGCATGGCTTTGGAAATTGCTTGCAGTCTGAAGTTTCTCCAGGAGTGAGCGCTATTAGCATAAGTTATCACAGATCTACACTAGAAGGAGCTCACAAACACATGTTTGCAGTAACATCCATCAAAATGACAGGTGAAGTAGTTTACTAAAGTGGTTTTCTATGTTGGGTCAATCAAAGTTATATTATTAATATGTTAGTTTTTCATTACAAAAGTAAATGTTAAAAAAACGTGTATAGACCAAAAGTAGAATACAATGAGGGTCAAAGTTGCAGTGGACTGGACTGGGATTGGTTGCTGGGGAGGAGCAATATAATCAGTAATTGTGATTTTTCACATGTTAATTATTTTAGGTATCACCCAGGCCTACTGCATGCACAACAATAACTCAAATCATAATAAAATATTCCTTCTTCTAAGTACAAACACAAGTGCGGCATCGACTTAAAGTGTACGATCTGCACTTTCGACATAATTTCTCTACTTGCTTTAATGAGAAATAATTAAACAAAATGTAAGATGAGGCATTTCGAGACATGTTCTCCATTCTCCACAGGGGCAGAAAGGTCAAACCAGCGGGAAACGTTCCAGACAAGTACAAAGGAACACAGAGGAACAAAGTGAAAAGGCATGTAAGGAACAGATAGAGCATCTAAGCAGCTCAATTACACTTGTTACGATTCTGTTTCAGGACATGGAGTAATCAGGGCAGGGACAACAAGTACTTGTAATTATTTATGCACATCTGAGTCAGAAGCGCTACATGATTTATTGGAATTAAGGGAGCGTCCTGCGGCGCAGTGTGTACCCAAATCAAAAGACCCCCCTCAGGGAACCGCAGAACCCGATAGCGTCAGAGAGGGCATATTGAGCTGAGGGAGTTTTTCTCCTCCGTCCCCAGCTGCAGTTGATGTCTTCCCATCGGCCCATCTTTAGCAGCACTACCTCCCCATTGCACACTGGCTATGGAAATGAGGCTGGTGCAGAAGGGTGGGGCCAGCTGGAGCTCAGAGAAAGGGGGGAGAACTAGAGCTTGAAATATTTGTCAGAACCCAATGGGACCTGACTATTCACATCAAGTTCAGTCAAGTTCATTTCTTGAAGGGACCATGAATTCTGTTTTTTGTATATCAGAGAACTCTTAAAGCAGCACTATGTGAGACTTTTGGTTAAAACTGAAAGAAGTAGCTTTATAGAATCAGGAGGGAAAACAGACTACAATATGGAGTGCATGCACTGCTGTGAGTCACTCCTGAAATAATCATTTAAAGGTCAGAGATGGGATGTTGGGTTGGATGTTGCAGGAGTTTTTTAGGCCACATAATGTCTTTATGTATTAATGGCACATAAACAGGCTAACAAAGAAGATCCCACTCAGGGTTTATGTCTCAAATGCAAAATCAACATTATACTGATGAAGATATGATAACAATAATAAGATAATTCACTCAGAATATCATAATAGTAGATTTTTCATTTACATCCTCAAAACTTCCTTCACCAAATGTTGACTGAGTTCCTTTTGAATACTATTTTAACACACTTGCAAACATCAGATTCATTTGCTCAGGAAAGGGGTCCAACATTACAAAATGTTCTTTTGCATGTTGCCACCATTTCCTCCAAAGAGTGCTCCAAAATCCCCAAATCTCATGTAGTGCAGCCAGAATGTGTAGTGAGGAGAACTGCCACTTAGTAATGTCTCCTGAGAGTGTCAAAGGCTAGAGAGTGCTTCCAAGTGAGTCCAAAATGAACAAGTACCTATGAAGATATAGTGCAAAATCAAAAAAAAAGTGTAAGGTTGTAAATGCTTAGTGACGTTATATATATATATAATGTTAAACTCCAGTTATAGGACTTTATAACGGCACCTCATGTACATTCATGATGTCAATAAATGTGAACTGCTACACTTGGCCAATAAGCTGATTGGCTCGCCAACCAATCAATACTCTGTAGGAATAATGTTAGAGATACCGCTAAGTTTTCTTTGTTTCTTAATGAAAAACATCCTACTGCTTTCCAAAATTAAAGAAAGTTCCTGAACAAATGGTAAGGACCATGTTTATTTTTTTGTTTTTAGCTGTTTAGCTCCATTCATTCATTAAGAACTCACTCATGGGCGCCCTCTAGCATTTTGCTTTTGCTAAATAATGGGGGAAATAAGAAGTGCCAACCAGCTCTGGTGCAGCTTTGTGGAAAGTGTTTATTCATCTCTCTATGAAGCTGAAACATAATGAGGTTATGCAGCAAGACAATGATTCAAAACAGAAAAGCAAATCCACATCTGAATGGCTTAAAAGAAACAAAATTGAAATTTAAAGTGGGGCTGTCAAAATCCTGACTTTGAACCCTGCGGTGATGCTGTGGCAGGGAATCAAACGGGCAGTTCTTTAAAAACCTACAAATATAGTTGAATTAAAGTATGTTTTTTTAAGAAGAGTGGGCCTAAATTGCTCCACAACAATGTGAAAGTTGATTGCAGTTGTTCCTGCTAATGACCAGAAACAAGTTGTGAATTTTAATGGAGGAGAATTACTTTTCACATGGGTGGATGAGTGAAGTAATAATTATAAAAATGTGTTTTGAGTTCTCTTTATCTGATATACTGTTTACTGTGACAAGTCCAGTAATAAAGAAAATCAGCAAGGGGTAAATACTTTTTTCATGGCATGGTGTGTGTGCTTTACTCAGGTTAAAACTTTTGGGATATGGTTTGAAGGCACTGAGTGATATCTAATTAGCTATTTCAACAGACACTGTCTTTAGCAATGTGGAGCTTTATTGAGTCTTCAGTTAGTGGTGGTGTAGTTAAGACAGAATTTCAATGGGCTACAGTTGGGATCATATTTGTGTTCTGTATTTGGGTTCAGATCCAAATTTCAAGCCAGATTACAGCTCTGGGAAAATCTTTCAGGAATGTAGTTTAAGAACAGAAAACAATGTGGCTGTAATACCTGAGGCAGGGCCTGAATGACCGTGTCCAGCAGAGCACGCATTCCCACCGCCATCTTCAGGAGCTTCAGCACTGCCAGGACAGAGAGGAGTTAGACAAGCACATGATTCATTCAAGCTTCATGATCAAAACAGAAAAAAAAATAATTTGAAAAATCACTAGACAAGACATTGTAACAAGAAGAACCCATCTTCATGCTATATAAAACCATTTTCAAAAAGGTTCTATACAGAACCATATACAACACATTCTCCATCAATATGAAGAATGATTTCACCTTGCAAAGAACCATTTAAGAATGAAAGACTTCACTAAATCAGTTTTTGTACATCAGTTGTCTCCCACTTTATATTAGGGTAAATATTGCATAATTATTTTGAGAATGTCATGTCAATTATTTGTGCTGTTATGGTAATGACAATGACAATCACTTAGGCTACTCCCTCACAATCCAAATTAATTTGAAGAACATAGATAATAAAGCTACTGATGAAAGCAACCTGCCAACATGGTAACAGCTGTATTTTTCAGACACAATGCACAGACTGCTCACTGCCATAAGATTCACACAGCTCTCCTTTACCAATATTAAACTGGATGCTAAGCTATCACAAGTCACTTTATGGTGGAATGCAGTGTTAGTTTTATGCCAGATGTAATGGGACCCATGTCTTCCAAAAAGTTCCACCTTTGACTCATCAGTCCACAGAAAACTACCCCAAAAAGTCTTGGGGGTCATCTAGATGTGATTTGGCAAATGCAAGACGAGCCTTTGTGTTTTTTTTTTTTAGTCTCCAATGGATGCCATTTTGCCCAGTGTCTTTCTTATTGTAGAAACATGTACATTGACCATAACTGAGGCAAGTGACTCCTGTAGTTCTTTAGATGTCCATCTGGGTTCTTTTGTGACCTCCTGGATAAGTCATCAATGCACTCTTGGAGAAATCTAGGTAGGCCGGCCACTCCTGGGAAGGTTCACTTTTGTTCAAGCTCTCTCCATTTATGGATAATGGCAATTACTATGGTTCACTGGAGTCCCAGAGCCTAAGCAATGGCTTTGTAACATTTTCAAGACCGGTAGATTTCAATGTCTTTGTTTCACATTTGCATTTGAATCTTATTAGAACGTGGCATCATGTGCTGCTTTTTGAGAGCTTCTAGCCTGCTTCACATTGCCAGACAGGTTCTATTTTAGAAATGTTTAGATTCAGCAGGTCTGGCAGTAATAATGCCTGGGTGTGGCCAGTGCATTTGAACCCAATAGTCAGTTGAATTTGGTTAACTGGTTGATTTAACAAAGGGGGCCATTGCTTTTTCACACGGGGCCAGGTAGGGCTGAACAGCATTTTTCCTTCAGTAAATGAAATCATCATACAGCAGTTTTGTGTTTACTTGGGTTATCTTTGTCTAAAATTAAAAGTAGTCTAATGATCTGAAAGTATGAACAATATGCAAAAATAGAATGGGGCAAATGCTTTTCACAGCACCGCAGGTTGCTTTGTGATCCTGGGGTGAACAAAGTAAGAGATGAATATGATCAACGGGGCAGCAAAGGGAAAGGGTGGATCAGAGAGCTGTGAAGAGACACTTTAGATGCAGTGCTACTTTAGGAGTGACAAGTGAAATGGAATTTGCCTGCAATTTTCAGCATGACTAGATTAGCATGTTTGCGTTATTATTGGGGTCGTGATCTCAACACACCGCTTTAATGACACTGATGACGAGGCCATTCTGGCAGGGACCAGACTGTACTGCCTCTGGAGCTGAAGGAGCTGGGGACGGCTGTGGCTTTAATTAAGGGAGAGTCTCTATGAAGACAGGAGAGCCACGGTGCACGTGCAAACACACTCACACTCACACTCTCAGTCTGTATCTCTCTCTAAAGCAGGTGTGTTTGCTTGGCCGTCTCTGTTGAGGGAGTAATCTATAAAGACTCCCGCAGCAGCTCATTCATTAGAAGGAGAGTAATCGCCCAAAACAGATGAGCGCCCCAGCTTCTCACACACGCTGAGGGTATGTGTGTGTGTGTGCGTGTAAGTGTTAGAGAGAGGTTATGTGAACTGAATTTCTCATTGCAGCCATCTGGTCTCTATCTACATGATGTGGGACTGTGAAACAGCAGCCATACAGACGTTGGCACGAGCATCAGTAAAAGCACTGAGTTCTTTCTCAGGAGGATGAAAAGTAAGACAGTAGAGCCAGTAGAACACACAGCAGAGCGAGCGTATATTCACCACGGGCAATACGCAGCACTCTCATGATGCGGATGATGGTGGGGTTGATAGGCAGCGAGGCGTTGACTTCTATCTCCTCCAGAGTTATTCCCATGATGGACAGCAGAACAATGGCTAGATCCAACTGGTTCCACCTGTAAACATACATAGACAGTGTAGGATGACAATTAAGAAATTAACTCAAGCTGTTATTGATTACAAAAGACATGACTTTAAATTAAAATCAGTTAGGCGTTCCCAACCTTTTGCAACAAACAAGCACAAAAGCCTCTGTGGCCCACAAGAAGATTGAACCTAACCATTGGTGGCTACAAAGTGCTGGATGATCGACTGAAAGAGGAGTTCTCACTCAGTTAGATATATATCCTCTATGTTTAAGCGATGTCACTTTAAAATACGACTACCCTTGTAAAGCATTTGAAATTTGTTTGTTAAAATTTGTTTGTTATTGGTTATTAGTTAGGTCATACACAGTTTAAAAACATTAATGAGCAGTTATAACACATTAATAAAAAGTGCAAAAGCAAGCTGTTATATCAGATGAATACAAATATGTGATGAAGCTGAAGGGTTTAATGCTGATTGGTGGAGAATACAAAGTAAGACCAGTAAACATCAAAAGCTGAGATTTAGACGTATAAATGAATGAGGGTTCACTATTAGGCAAACAACAAGTCACTGTTGCCCTTTTATTTATGTGGTGTATTTATTTATTTATGTGGTGTAACTGCTTACATAAATGGCTTTAAGGTCTTTATGATCTAATTAACAACCATTAATAAACTAATTTTAAACCATTCATGAGCGCTTTATAAGGTTAATTTTATTATTTAAGGTCTTTATGATCTAATTAACAACCATTAATAAACTAATTTTAAACCATTCATGAGCGCTTTATAAGGTTAATTTTATTTTAAAGTGGTATCGTTTAGTCTCTAAAGTGATGGCGTGAAGTGTTTGGCTTTAAAGCTTCATTTGAAAATACCTCGGAGCGAACAACACAGAGTGGTCATCAGTCCCCATGCATGTGAAGCCTAGCACTTTTCTCTCAGTCTGGGATAGAGTGGCCCTTTCACTGTATATCATTGTGCTTGATATAAATGTTTTATTTTTGCAAATAATTATCATAAGAACATCTGTCATATTTAAAATTATGTTTGGTTTAATGTCTATAGTGTGATGAATTTCTGTGGTTAAAAAAAAAACAAAACACTGATGGCCCCTTAGTTGTACCACCATAGCCTACAGGTTAAAAACACTGTTCCTTCTGGATAACATAAATTTTTCCACTGTGCTTTCTTAAAATTACACAGCTCTCAAAGTAGTCTTGGGATGCCTCATCATTTGTTTTTTCTTTGAGAATTATAGAACTAGTTAATGTATTATGGAACCTATGCTTTACGTTATTCAGAAGTACATAATTCCAGCTTTACTATATCAGTTGATATGTTGAGTCCACATTTAGAAAACGTCACCTAAACTCCTTATTACACTAATCCAAATGCACACACACACACACACACACACACACACACACACACATCATACTCAAACCAGAGACCTTCAATGCTACTCTTGTAAAGCTCTTGACTCATCCATGCACTGATAGTAACATTATATAACAGTAATTTGGTGTGCTATTACAGAAAATATCTTAAGCTGAACTGATTTCACAATAAAATGATGAATACAACATTTTGCTGAGAAAGCAATCATTTATTAATCCTGGCACCCAATGAATAACAATTTAGAAGACTGTCATTCAGTGGAAGGAATATGCAACTAACTTAAATAAAATACCATATACTAACTAATGTAAAGGAAAGAAACTCCAGTGTTTAAGTGCTTTTACTCGCCTTACTTGAGTTTTTAATTCATGATGCATGATTTTGAGTTTCAGTTAGTAAACCTGGTCATTGCTGCATTTCTGATGGATACGAATGAATAAATGATAACGTTAGCTTGAACACTAATAAGAGACAAGACATAAATTGTATTCAGAAAGTGTCCCAAGACCACTTTTGAGCACTACACATCCAATGGTCAAATGCCCACTGCCTTATCTTGTGTGTTTGAAGGTTGAATTAAGTGAAACACAGCTCTAACATCCCTTCTCCTTTAATTCTTTCTCCTAAAAGTGCACATAATTATTGTTATCAATCATAATGGCAGAGCTATTACACAACTTATGGTCAAACTCAGTAAAATATGTATTATAGACAGATGTACCGACTTGGCTTGATATAAAATAAAAGCTTTAATTCTTTCTGTTTGTTCTCTGTTTATTTTCAAATGCATCTTAGATTAAGAATATTTCATTTTTTGTAATCAGATTGATACATAATCCAGAATTTAGGCTTTTACTACCCAACACTGCTCACAAACATATTGTTTTAGTCATAATAAAACATTTTAATGTTAAACACAATTTAAAAATTTCGATTGAACTACTTTGCGTGAACAATTCATGACAAATGTACTGGAAATCCTGGAGAATATAAAAAAGCAAATCTTTTGTCTTTTATTAATACTAACAGATGTTGTGAATGTTTCTCCTTCTCCTCAGTAACTTTTTCTGGAGATATGTTTTCTTATTACAGTGATAATATATCAACACAACCCCTCAAACCACGAGTTCAGGAAAGTTTCAGTTTCCAATTTCATTTCCAGTTTTCACAGGTTAAAACATTATTCATCAGTATTCAAACAACACACTATGTCACAACTCTCATTTGAACTCAATCTTACCTCACTGTTTTTTAAGCCTCTGCAAGTATTCAGTGCCTCCAAGTGAGACTTAAAACTACTTGCCAAAATTGAAATCACTTCCTCTGAGGTCAAGCACTGCAGCAGTGTCATGGCTGAACTGCTGCCTGGAGCCGGCTTTGAGGCCAGCCAATTCTCAGAGGCCTGTGGCCATGCGAGGTGTTTCATTAGATATGTGAAGCAAAAATGATCACACAAATCATTTCTGCATTTTCCTACCAGCTTTGTTAACTGCGGGCTGTGTGATCAAAGTGGACTCGCTATTGCAAGCAGACTTGGAACTGTGTGCATTATTGTAATCAGTGTTATAAAGCATTATCAGTCACACACAGTGCAATGTTAGGCTAGCTTTAATCTATGAGCTGTGTGTTCTGGAGTTATCAGTGGTTTTAAATGAAAGCAGTTATAATGGAGATTATATAATGGATACTATGAAACTTCTGAAATAACATCATAAACTTGTTGGTGTAACAACCACTTTTACATTTGTCTCCAATGCAGGATGTACTATAGGTGTTAAGTCAGAGGCTCAATCTTAAAAAGCCCATACGCTATATAATTTTCTTTTTTGTATTTTAATTTTTTGATGTTCATTTATGCTATTAGTGTGGCTTTATGATCCAAAGTGGTCAATTTTTAAATAACCGTTCATTTTTATATGACTATTTTTGCTCTTTAATAAACTGTGTTTATCCCTGATATTCAAATAAGCTGTTTTTTTACTGTGCCTTTAAGACTGATAAATAACCGACCTCTGTTCTGATTGATCCTCATTCAAAAAGCAGTCCAAGCTGAAACGTTCCTTCTAACTTTGTGAATGGAGCTAAACTGCTGGAGGCTGAATGGGCAGATATATGTAAGTGCTTTGGGCTTTTTGACATTACAAAAAAATGGAAAAATTATGTTTTTTAGTTTACTTTTCATATATGGACTGAATACACTGGAAAGTGAATTGTTTGAATCTTGTTCAACAGTGTTTACATACTATTCGCAAAACGACAATTCACTTTTCCGTGATATTGGCCCTTGAAATGCTGAGGAATCGTTTAATTTATCACTATTGATATCCTGATATTACAACAGCTGTTTCCGAGTTATAGCAGACAGAATGTTTTAGGTGCTCAATATGCTTTGATTTGGTTTTTGTGATATTGCTCAAATTGTATGCTGGTAATGAGAGTTTCTCCTTTTTGATCAATTTTACATTATGTGGTGCAATACAAAAAGACCATATGCTGTTTTGTACTGTTGCTTCAAGTCACATATGTTGATGTACTTACTTGATTAAATGATCTAAGTTCCAGTTAAAGAATGGATCTAAGCCATTGCACCTATTCATGTCTCATGCCTGCTGAATTAGAGTGTCAAACATGCATGCCTGTGCTCAGTTTGACAACTAAAAGAAAGAGATGCAAATCTACTGAATTGCAACAGGGTCACTGTTGGTCTCTAACCCAAAGGCAGTATCAAATTATTATGACTCGTCATGAAACTGTATTTGGATACTAGAAGCAGAACGGTTTCTTTTGACAACCACAAATGATATGAAATGTTTCTTAGTTTCCACCACAGATGCCAAACCATTCATCCCTCACTGGGCTTGTCACAGTCTGAGGCTAACCAAGGATCTCTATGCTGTGATATCATGGTGTGTTTTAAAGCTTTAAAATGACTAACAAGCTATTGATATACACGAGACATCAATTATGTAGCTGTCAGTGCATCTGGATTCTTTTACTCAGACTCCCTGATGCATAATTGTGATTTATTCATGTCTCGAAGATCAGGAAGAGCAGTTGCTGTGTCTCTTACCTGTCTTTGAAGAAACGGCGGAATCCAAATGCCACAAGTTTGAAAACAGACTCCAGCACGAAGATGATTGTGAAAATGTAGTTGCAGATTTTCAGTGCTTCATCAAGCACCTGCAAAAAAGAGAGCGAGATCGCGAGTGAGATTAAGAAAAGAGTGATCACTGCTGTGATCTTGATGTTGTTTTAATTTAGGAATGAATGAAAGCATTCTTTTGAGAATTGCTCTACAACCACTAGGGGTGCACAATTTGAACTGGCCAAGACCAAAAATGATAGATTTCAGTTCCAAACACTAATTTATTATTTTTATTTTATGTTGCATTTTATGACGTGAATAATATGAGGCAAATATGTACTCATGCACAAGTACGCAGGCGCTTATCGTAATTATTGAGTTTGAGTGTTTCAGCGACACTCATTGCTAATACGTGTATAATATCAAACACAGTCAATCAATTTCCATGGACAAGCACCGGCAGAATGGGTCATACTGGAGAGCTCAGTGACTTTAAACGTGGCACTGTCATAGGATGGCACCTTTGACACAAGCCAGTTTGAAATTTCTGCCCTGCTAGATCTGCCCTAGTCAATTGTAAGTGCTTTTATTGTTAAATGGAAGAGTCTTGGAGCAACCAGCTCAGTCATGAGGTACAGCAGGCCACTGAGTGCTGAAGTGTGTATCATGTAAAATCGCCCATCCTGTGTTGCATCACTGCCTGTGGAAACAACATCAGCACAAGAACTGCTTCATGAAATGGGTTTCTAAGGCTGAGCAGCTGCATACAAGCCTAAGATCACTATGTACAATGCGTTGGCTAGAGTGGTGTAAAGCATAACGCCACTAGACTCTGGAGCAGTGGAATGTGTTTTCTTCAGTGATGAATCACGCTTTACTATCTGGCAGTCTGATGAACAAACCTGGGCTTGGTGGAACAATAGCTACTGGAATGCATAGGGCCAACAGTAAAGTTTGGTGGAGGAGGGATAATGGTCTGGGCTGTTCCAGTACTATTAATTCTACAGCATTCAAAGACATTTTAGACAATTATATGCTTCCAACTTCATAGCAACAGTTTCGGGAAGGCCCTTTCCTCCTTCCAGTATAACTGCGCCCGTGTGCACAAAGCAAGATCCATAGCATTTAACAGATATGGTGTGGAGGAACTTCAGTGGCCTGCACAGAGCCCTGACCTCAGCTCAACTGAACACCTTTGGGTTGAATTGGAATGTCGATTGTGAGCCAGGCCTTCTCGACTAACATGTGTGCCTGACCTCACAAATGCTCTTTAGATTAAATGGCCACAAATTTCCACACACACACACACACACACACTCCAAAATCTTGTGGAAAGCTTTCACAGAAGAGTGGAGGCTGTTTGGCTGCAAAAGGGGGGCAACTCTTTATTACTGCTCATGGTTTTGGAGTGGGATATCCAACAAGCTCATATAGGTGTGATGGTCAGGTGTTCACAGACCTTTGGTCATACAGTGTGAATCTTACTCATACATTTGGGAACAGGTCATCCTACATTTATCAGATGTGTTTTAAGCTTGCTGTATTATAATGGAAAGATGGCGGAGGATTAGAGTTGATTGAATGCAGAGAGGAGGTCAGTCATTTCTAGTGGCTGGCACTCTAACATGCCGTACCTGTTCCACTCTTCCTAGACTGTAACTCACATGGCAAGGCTGGGGTCTGACAATCCACCAAAAATCAACTGACCTTGCACAGTGGCTAAGTATTTAAGTTGGCAATGATCAATGACCCACAATGCCTCTTCCCCTCTCTGCTTTGTTTCTAATGAAAGCAGACATCTATTTATAGCCACAGGTACGGCTGGCATACTCCATTAACAACAGGGGCTATGTCTGGAGAACGACCAGCAAAGAAAAGCAGTAACACAGTAAGCAAATACCAGCTTTTTATAAATAGGAGAAAGAAACAGACACTGAAAACTCTACAATGTCCCATATGCATCGCTGGCTGACTCATCTGGATAAGCAGTGAGCTAAAAATTGTTATAAGTGCTCTGATCATGAATTTTTATGACCGATTCCCATTTCTTAACAGTCAAACTGGGCCATGGCTGATCATTTGGTCAATTTTTATAGTCTTTTAATTTTTTTTTAAACCCAAAGCTCATTCTGTGTGGGCTAAATAAACACATGAAACACCCCCAGCACATTTCCAGTAATTTCTATTAGCCAAAATTACTACATATAAAATAATTTGCTTTTATATGAGCCAAGCTGGCATTTTAAATTCTTAAATAAAAAATCTGTAGCCTATTTAAATAACCTTAACCAAATAAACTGCTACATTGAAAGTAACTGGCAACTGGCTGTATAGCATGATGAGTCATACATAATTATGCCATGATATTTTGGCAAAAGTGTAGCAGCAGCATTCCAATTCAGCACGCATGCACTTACAGTTGTATGTAAAAGTTTGGGTACCCTGGTCAAATTGCATGTTTTGTTAATTTTAATTTTAAAGTAATGTTTTAATGCACAATTACTGCTTATTTGCTCAATGTAACATAATGGGGAAAAAAACATAAAATGTGGCCTGTGTAAAAGTTATGGCACATTTTATTACATTTTATGGGTAATTTTTTTGAATATGTTTAAAAAAAAGCTGAAAAAGCCATATTTAGGCTTGTAAAATATGTATGAACTTTACATTTTACACTTAGAAAATCAACCAAACGTGTAATTGGACTGGTGAGTGTTTTCTTGGTATAATAAAACTTTTCTAAGCAAGTTATTCAATCAGTCAAACTTAAGTCAACAAATTAATATTCACTTAATAACTTAACTTTGGGCCAGATTTAACGTGCATTATTGGCATATGGTAGGGGCACCTAAATGCCCTCATGAGCATACTTGTGGCCCACTGCTGTATGTGCCATCTTAGCTGTATCTGAATGTGCTTTGACTTCCCTTGGGGTTGTGATTTAAAATTGTAGAGGATCAATAAAACATGTAATTTGACGGAAGGTCTTCAAACTTTTGCACACCTGCCTCACGTTACTTATGTCAGACAACTGCAACACAGATCGGGCAAAATTAAAATTATAAATTTGTAAATTGTCAACGGCTTATTTGGAGCAAAAGTCAGATTCTGATCTTGGCTGATTCCAGTTCAACCTCCTTACAAATCAGAGCAGAAAGTCCTCCAGTTACTCTGCTTCGTCATGATATTTATTTTAATAAACCAAAATTTTTAAAGCCGTTGCAAAATGCTTTATATATACAGATATGACTGCAACTAAACTGTGTAATAAGGCATCAAGTTATGCTGTTCATGGAATAATCTTTGACAATTGTGTTGCTTGGCAACCACAGAATACTGGTAACAAATTAGTGTATTATGATTAGTACTAATAGTAAATAAAGTTATTTTTATGTATAATGAATTAAATTATTCATTGAATCATATTGTTTTGTATTGTAATATTTATATTGTAGTATTTATTTAACTTTAAACTATATTACTGTACTGTATTTATCACCGTTTGGCAGTGTTGTATACTCCTTTTCATGTTGTGCATAACCAAGGCCCTGAGCCATAGTAAAATCACTGTAATGCATGGTCTCTCAAGGCTTATTGCTTTAATAAATGCTCATTCAGTATTATGTGGAGGCAAAGGGAACATCTGTAAATTTCAGTGAATGAGTTCCTCAGTTTAGTCGGACAAGATATTTTGCAACAACTGAATATGATGATGCAAAAGAGCTGTAATACAGTGTTTTAGAGAAGGACAATAAGTGCAACTAATGAAATTTAAAACAAATTATATAATCACTAGTGTGTCATAACTAAAGCAAAAAAGAAAGAAAATTAAGTTAGTAATTATTTGGAGGGGCAATAAAAACGACACAGCAGCCTTAAAAATGTAATGTAAGTGACCATTAGCAATTATGAAATGAGAGGGCATTCTTCCAGAACTATAAAATATTCTCAGTGTTGTATTCAGCAAAAGCTGTGCTGTGCACTAAAAAGAAGTGAAGCATTGAATTTACATAACATGCAGTACTGTGCAAAAGTCAGAGATGATCTTTCATTTATTTAACTTACACTCATTTTACACCATTAAATACAAGTTGTAAGTTAAGTACAAGATTTTGCTGGAGATATTTCTGAGGAGATTAAATATAAGATAATTCACAAACAAGTGAAAAATATGGGTTTCATAACAAGATTTACAAATAAATTAAAAATAAATAAAGATACAGAGAAAATGGGAAAAAAGAGCCATGCAAGACTTGGTATACCACCAAACCTGTCACCATCATTTAAATAGCACTTAAAGCTTTCATCTTTAGGGGAAATTCAAGCTCCACTCTTGCTTCAGATCTGAAGTCTGTGGGTCTGAAAGAATGTGTAGCTGTCAAGAAGCCATTAATGAGAAAAGTAAATAGAAAACCACGGACTGACCACCCCAGAGCCCAGACATCAACACCGTTGAGTGTGTTTGGGATAGGACTGTGAGAAGCAGGAAATACAACCAGCTTCTAAGACTGAACTTTATAAGTGTGGAGAAATATCCCTGCAGATTTCTTTGAAAAATGAAAGCAAGCCTCCCGAAAAGATGAGTGGACACATGTTTAAAGGCCATTTTGACTGGAAATGAAATGAATTAAGGTTGATCTCTGACTTTTGCACAGTACTGTATATCAACACATTTTTGTTTTTCAGTTTACTTACTGTTGGCAATAACTGTGTTGATGTAATATTTCTTATTCAGGCACACATTTGACTGAAGTGAGAAGGCCTACCCGGGGCTGCTGGTAGTGCTCCATGGACATGGTGATGACGTTGAGGCCGATGACGATGGTGATGAAGAGGTCCAGGTAGTGGCTGGTGCACATCTTGTGGATGAGACGTCGAGTTGGGGAGTAGTCCGAGTAGTATGGCTTACTCTGAGCTTCTATGGTGAGGAACCATCAGGACAGGGAGGCAAGCAAGAGATAACAATACTTATACAAGCACCAGTAAAGCAGACACACTCACACACACACACACACACACACACACACACACAAACATACATGCCCATAGCAGCAAAAGCCAAAAGGAAGGAGGGGAAAGAATATAAAGAGAAGCACTAGAACAAATATAGCTCCATGATTATAGCAAGAAAGAGAGGAAAAGGTCCTGCTGCAATCCTCATCTGCAGAGTCAAGGGCATCAGAGTGGCCTACAGGGCCACACTGCCTCAAACCTGCTCACTCATAGCCGGCTGTCAGGTGCCATCTCATCAACACACAGTCTTCCTTTGTGTCACAATTATTCTAATAAGCTCTCCTGAGACACATGTACACTAAATCTCCTCTTGAAGGGTTTCCAAATGTGAGCCCGAGGAAGATTTCGGGGGCTTATTATCCTGTGTTTCTATTCCTGGGACCTTAGAAGACACTTCGATTTTAGACGTCTTCCTCTCATTCTTCTGAATATCAGTATTCTTTGCCAAACAAAAATAAAAAAAAAGAGAAAACAACCCACATCAATCAAAAAACGAAAGAAGAGCGTTCACAATGTTATCATTTCCAAAATAAACGCAAATATTCCCCAAAGAAATTCCAAAAAAAAGAAAAAAAAAAACAGACACATGCTGTTGAATAAGCATCTAAGGCATATTCCAATGCAGGCTGCTGTTGCTTTATTGGCTCTGTTGTTCTGGATGCTCTGGACGAGGACGAGGAAGGGACGAAGGGAGAGATGGAGGTTCTGGCAGAGCAGCGGGGGGGGTCAAGGAAGGGGGGCTTATCACTTCAGCACACAGTCAAGGGCTGCAGGCAGCAGCTGTGTTCCCTGTGGTCCTGTCAGCCCATTAAACAGCCTGTCCCCAAAGCCCTGGCACCGGCTGCCCCCCGCACTGGAGGAACAGGTGCAGTGCGCTGACTTTTTTTTAAAACCTGCCACATCAGCACTATTCCCTTAATCATATGGCTGCTTCTGTCTGAATGATGCATTTGAACCTCAGCAATTTGGAAACCATTTACATTGAGGATATAATGGGCAGACTTTGGGCCAGGACACTCGTGAATGGTCATGCGCTTGAATGGACACACAATCGCATGTACTTTATGTATACATAGATCACCGTCTGTGCAGTATTGCTGCATGGGGGTTTATAGGACAGGAGAAAGTGGCTTCTGCCATGGCTTCATGGACTAGAGCCAACTCCAGCCTGCTCAGCCTTTGCACCTGAACTAATTGGCAGCAGAGGACAAGATACAAAGGCCCTCTCTATCACTGGGAGACAAGCTTTTTATCATGTTAAAGCTGCCATAAAAAGAATAATTCAACATTTTCAACCTAAACTTAATTACACTTTACTATAGGGCAGTGTTCATAAGGCTACATGACAACTACATAAGACCTTTGTGACAACTGACACAGACCTCCGTAAACATTTATAAACATACTCCAATAGGTGTCATTTGCCATGAAGCTGACAAAGGTGACATTAACATCTATGTCATTGTGACATTGATGTTTTTCTGACATTAGATTAATGACTAATGCTGATTACATGACATAGCTAAGTCAGACTAGATGAACAATGGTAATTTTTTTTTTTTTTGGCCCTTAGGTAAAGTTTCATTTTGTCTTTTATAAGAGTTAAGCTATCATCAGCATTGTGTCACTGTGATAATCACAGATAAGCCAAACCAATTTGAGCACTCACAGATGAAGTGAATAACAATTATCTCATAACATCGGTGCACAGTAAGGTCTGGGATATATAAGATAGTATGCAAACAGTCAGTTCTCATAGTCGGGATGCTAGACGCAGGAGAAATGGGCAGATAGGAAGACCCGCATGACTCGGACACTACACATCATTATGACCAGTTGACTGGTCACCGGCACTCCCGGTCAGCAGTGTTGAGTCCCTACCAAGAGTGGTTGGTAAACTGGGGTGCCCAAGGCTCACTGATGCACGAGGGCAACAAAGGCTATCCCATCTGATCCAAACCGACAGAAGGCTCCTGTGGCACAAGTCACATCAATTTTTATAGATGGTTACGGGAAGAATGTGTCACAACACATAATGCTTCACACCCTGCTGTGTACTGGGTGTGCAGCCACTGATCAGTCAGAGTGCCCAAGCTAACCCCTGCCCATCACTGAAAGCATCTACAATGAGCAAAAGAGAGCCAGAACTGGATCTTGGAGCAATGGAAGAAGGTCCCCTGACCCGATGAGTCCCATTTTACATTACATCACGTGGGCAGCTAGGTACTTGTGCACCATTACCTGGGGAAGTGATGGCAGCAGAATGCACTGCGGGCAGAAGACAAGACAGCACAGGGAGTGTGATGCTCTGCTGGTAAACCTTGGGTCCGGGCACACCCCTTCATAGCAATGGCAGTGCAAGACGTCTGATCTGCAACCTGTTAGTTGTCATGACAAGCTTATGTAGGTGTCATATAACCTTATGAACACTGCCTTACAGTAAAGTATAATACTGTCAATGTCCACAGACAATAATGGACACACTGTCCTATACTGAGCCAGAAAACCCTCTGGCTCAAAACTCACTTAGAATAGAAGACAATGGACAGTTTCTGAATTCTGGAAGTAAACATTTTAAAATATGACTATATAACACAAATTTGAACAATACACTCCCTACACTACAATCTAGAACAGGGTTGACCAAACCTGGCCAAGGTGGACATTTGATTTGGCCAACCAGAAAGCTGCCTAAACCTCACCCACCTCACCTAACGAGAGAACAAACTTTTTATTCTCTGTTTATTTATTAATTTCTTATTTAATAAGAATTGTATTTTTGAAGTACTTTTAGAAAAGGAACATAGTATAATGTAGTCAAATTTTACCCCAAGACAAAAAAAGGAAAAAGAAAAAGATAATGGGTATCCCTGCTCTAGAGATCAAATAGGCATTAGAGAAAGTCAGAAAGTCAACGCTGTTCTTCTAAAGTGTTTAACTTTTAAATATTGGGGCAACACATTAAGAAAGCAGTAGTGGTTACATTCACTTTCTTAAAGTTTGACTGTGCACGAGCAGGAACGTGTGAAAAACTCCAACACCACCATTATGCTGGTAACCTATTCCCACAGATTCCTCCCTCTAAAAATAGTCCCATCTCTGAAAGAAAGAGTTATGAAGACTTATAGCTTTTTGTACACTCAAAAAATGGTGGTTTGAATTTATGTGATTCAAATGTGCCAAGTGGTCACACATGAATAAAACGTGTTAAATCAACATTCTTGCTGTCTTTCGGTTTTCTTACTTTGGCACAAATTTTTATTCATGTGAAACCACTTGAATGAATCATGTGTGTTGAAAGCATCTTTTTTTCAGTGTAGAACACTAATGACTTTAATGAAGAATTCATGAAATACATGTTTCACACAAATTCAGCAACCGCTTATTGCCTTCTGTTATTTGTATTGAAGATGGAATCAAAAGATTTTCTGTTTTTTTAGGCACAGGGAAATGCATCAACATTATCATCTATGATAACTGATCAAACGCTACAGGTGCAGCAGGTAGAGATCAGGTTGATAAATGCCAGAGTTTTCCTTTAATTAACTGGCAAAGACAATCTAAAAATACCTGTTATTGTGCAATACATTTGAAGACTGTAGATTAGACTGTAGAAGTCTTGGGACAGGATGCCAGCTAGACCAATGCTGCGCTTAATTATCACAGGATCACAGTATGGGATCTGGCTTTAGCACTGTCTAATTGGAGCCACGTTTCTTGTGCTCTTAAATGTGCTGACTTGACATTAACAGAGTTTCATAATTTGCAACTTATGAATGTGAGACGATCTGCCTTGGCAAAAAACTTTTCCCCTTTTTTCAAGAATGGCACAGACCTTATGAAAAAAAAGCAGCACTGGAGTGGTTTGCCCAAGCCAGTGCATTTTAGCTTCATCTGTTCAGTTGTGTTACAATTCCAAGGGGACAGGCAGCAGTGGAGCGCAGACTGCTCCAGTTCTGGGGTGCTCGATTACCGAGACATTTCTAAAGCAGGGCATGGAGGCTGTGGGCTGGGGACTGTTTACTGTTTCCAGGTACACCTGGCTGCTTCTGAAGAGATCCGCTCCCATATGACCCCACAGTTCCTCTGCCTCCCTCTCATCCCTCTCAGTGAGAAGCTCTCCCCCTCTTTCTTTCAACTAATAAAACATGCTGTAGCAGTTTACTGCCCTGAATAAAAACCAAATGGAATAAACTGCAGGCTTCTATTCTATTTTTGAGTAAACAGAATCTGTATGCCATAAAATGAAGTGCGTTGGTTAACTCTTAGAAGTCTATGGTGTTATTACTGTCATATTACTATATTATTCAAATGTAATTAGACAATTATAGATTTAATGACATAGTTACACAACAAGCTTTTATTGTTGTTTTGCTACACCAAAAGGCACAAGGCAAATATGTAATTACATATGAAGTGTTCCATTTCAAAATGCTGTGTTTCTATTTGTAACAATTTTGGATGTAACTAGTTTTTGAAAAGAATAACAGCTGATGTGTCATGTAAAACACATTTTTATTCCTCCAATAAAGGAGGTATTAATCATAATATAGTATTCATATTACTTGTGTGTGTGTAAAGGCTAATATATATCATTAAAAACAATATATATCATTAAAAAAGGAAAGTCTCACTCTAACTTTATTTAGTTATGCCATTTATTTCCACTCAATCAAATAGAGTTAACATAGTGCACAGATTTTGTGACCTCAAAATAAATTTCAATTGTTGATGGAAAAAAATTGAAATACTTCAGTGCAATTTATTTGCATTTCTTCAGAATGGAATTTGCTTTAGATCAAAATATTTAAAAGTTTCCATTAATTGTAATTTATTTTCAGTTTCTAAGTCGAATAAGACCACTGGTTCATTTTCTGAGTGTGGGCTAATGCATTTTCAATATAA